AAGCAATGGCATGTCTCGGAAAGAGCTCCCGATGTTTCGAGATGCTCAAAAATTTTCCATCCCACCCTTAATGACACCCACGAGTGTTATTCCGCACGGCGGCAGGGACCTCTTGCTATCTCCGTACCGACTTCCACGCTCCGTGCCGCAAGGCATCCAAATGATATATGGCGTTTCCCATTCTAACTTACATTTCCTGCAGCCGTTCTTGTTCCGTCCAATTTCACACGCTTTGTATCCCCTTAAGGTCCAGTACCGGTTACAACGGACCGCAGTGCGGTGCGGTACGATGCGGTAATAGAGAAGACCCCGCCGCCGCCGGCGCATTTGCATCCGCAGAATTCTCCGGTCGAATCGCTCGACCCTGCCGCGCCCCGTGCCCGGGCACGGGCAGGGGCAGGAGCAGGGGCGACCTGGCCCGCGGCATCGAAACGCGACGAACCCTCGTATGCGCCCGAGTGTCATTACGCGGCTCGTTTTCCGGCTTTAATTAAATGACGTGCAAAATGCGCGCGGCACGCCCACGCTTCTCTGAATTTCCGGAAAGCCCCTGCGTATGCTGAGGCAGGTCAACCGTAAACCAGAAACATTGTGCCGCGCTGCACGTTTAATACGACGGTACGTATTAATGCGCAACCAGCAGCAGCGTACGCGTGAATTTCAAATACGATATCATATTATTCCGGAAAATTTTTCCATCGCAACGTCGCCCTCTCGCTCCCGAGATAATCGAAGAGAGGAAGAGAGAAAGAGAGATCATCTTCGTACATGATATAAGATACGACCGCATGAGAAACGTGATTCCGCGTAAGAAAACATCGCAGCAGTAAGTGACAGCACTTTGCCACATTATATCCTGCCGTACATTTTTATGATTATAAAGCGTTCAGTTAGAAACCAAGTTTTTCGCCATTCGGCCCATTTAATAACTAAAATTTAATTTCATATTTCTTTATACGACGTTGCAAAAAGAATTCATTATTTACAGAAATTCTAAGAAAATAGATATTCGTCAGTTATTCAGTGTTGATCCAAATGTTTGAAGAAATATACAAAGAACATAGACAGAAAATTGCTATACTATATTATCCAATCATTATACTACATATATATTATACAATATAATTGTTTAGTGTCTTCTTTTTAAATTTAAATAATATATAAAAATTGTGAATGCGTGAGATACTCTGTACGAATTACACCATTAAATTTGCATATAAAACTCCAAAAATAAATAGAATAATAGATGTGTGGTTCATAAAATTAAAAACGTAATTTTAAGTAACGAATAAAATGGATTTTTCGCATGTCACTGCTTCTTTCTGTGTATACATTAAAATTGCTTCAATTATTAGTCTAATAAATCGTAAAATGATAAATTCATTGATATCGGCAGAAACTCTTCGAAACTGTGTATTTCGATTCCGTGACTTTCGCGCAACGCCATGTTTCTCCGGTGTCGAGTGAGAGAGTCGCGATATTTCACTCATTAAGAATTTTCAAGGATGAAAAATGGCTTTATTTTCTAGCGCATATTGCCACCCCTCGACGCGACGGGCCCTTCGTCTCGCGCGTGTGCAATAAATAAAGTGACGGTCACAGTAATTTCAGCCACGCACGATTGGGAGCTCCGACGGTTTCCCGCCCGGGCACACGGTCGGTATTAATTATTCGTAGGTGTTAGTTTTTGCTGAATGCAGCGTTCCACATTACGAATGTCGCGAGCGTACCGAGCAAGAGTGATGAGGAGCAAGGCGATGCATGTTCTTTACTACCGAAAACTGCACATCGCCGCGAAAACATACATCACCCACGTTCTCCGCTTCGAAGTTTGTGGATGACAAGTTGTCGAAAATTAATTAAATATCACGCGTTCGGGGAAGGAGGGAAACATGGATTGTCGCGTAATTAAATTCTAGTATTTTTCTACATAATATTCGGCTGTCTCGTGTCGAGTGTTCGAATGGCGAAAGGCTTAACCGAGAACAACGCGGCGTACATATTCCAGCCGCGTCTGTGCCTCGCGGTTCTCTCCCTCATATCGCATCCGTCGAGCAACCAAGTCACGCGCGTTCGAAATAACGTAATCCGAGAGACCAATACATGCCAATTAATATTCCGTATCGGGCTACCATACCGACAGATCGGTACGAGATCCGACGCGTCGTACTTCCGCATGATACAACAATGGGCGTTGCACAACGCAGCTCGAGTTCGAGTTAGAATTTCGCCAGTCGAACAGACATTGTCGCGGGGACAAAGATAGAGAACAGTGAAAAGTAGATCCGGGGCGGCGAAACTATCGGCGATGACTTGGGAAAAAGGAAGCAGCCCTGCATCGCTTTCGTCTGGCTGAGATCCAATTCGAAGAACAATTGTTTTTCGTTGTGGCTGACGGTAAAAGTGAAAAAGTTTATCGCGTCGTTCGATTCGTTTGTCGCGAGACCAGAGTCTACTCTGTAACAAACTCAGGCGTTGTCATAATTTAGTTTTATATTAGGCGGTCTCAATTTTGTCGCTACACACAGTTTTTCGACAATATAATTCTCTTTTTAAGCTAAGCACTCGAGTGTTGCCAGATAACGCGTAAGATTTCCATGATATTCCCCCAGTGCGGTTGATTCGTTTAACGGAACACAGACGAGATTTCCTTTGATTCGGACTTAAACATCTCAAGGTGGATTTGCGCGAGAAATCCAACGTCTCCGCATCCGTGTCCTTTTGTGCGTAGATATAGAAAACGCATTTCGCGAGCGAATGTCGTGTCGCGCTTTGAAAATTTTCAAGACGAGCTTCTCTCAGATCGGGCACACGCGCGCCTTCCGAATTTTTCAATCACGTTTAGCGCTGACAGGATTAATAAAGCGCGCCGAGCCGTGTTCCATGCCGCGCCGCACCGCGCCGCAACGCGAGCGGAGTTTCCAGACTCATTTCATGCAGAATCGAATTGGATTTCCAGGTCGGGACCGGTGTGTATAACCGTGTGTAATCCACGAGAGGGCGAAAGAGGCGGATATGAAGATAGATAGAGAGGGAGTAATATGCGGCTGGAATGCACGTCCCTTTGATGTGCGACTCGTGGAGCGCCGCGACGCTCTTTCAGCGAACGCGCTGCACTTTGTTACATCGACGCTAAATAATCGGTTTATAAAAATTCATGGCCAGTCTAGTGAGGTGGGTTTATATCTGGCACCACTCGGGCCCGCGCGCACGGTTCCTTCACTATTTCACATCTCCTCCCTATTCCCTTCGCATCTCTCGTACCGCAATATCGCCAGCCGGACGATATGACGAGAGCTCGCAAATTAAAAAAGGGCGAGGATATATTCGTAGAATATTATATAAGATAGAGTTTCTAGAGATAAAAGGTAGTCGAGAAAAATTATGTAAAAATTTATGATCCATTTAATTTTCCCAAACTTGACATTTCTCGATAAAAGATCGAAGAATTTCTAGTTTTATTAATTTAATTTAATAAACCGTCTCATCCACATCAGAAAATATAACATTTCATGATGTGTGGATACGTAATATCCACACATATGACCACACATATGAAGAAAATATTGTGGTTTAACGTGATTATATCGTTGTTATCAAACGGTAGAAAATTAAACGATATATGATAAAATTATTCAGGTAGAAACAATATGCGTGCGCGTGTGTATATACGTGCTAGCACGCTCAATAAGATAGTGGTGATATAGCCAATTGCTCCCGCAGGAGAATGCACCGCGCTGTATGGTGGATAAATAGGGTCCCATTGTTAGCCTCGATGATATACGCATATTTAGAATATTGTAATGTAGAGTTTAACTTTTCATAAATGATTCGTTCGTGGATGCAAATCGTAAAAAAAAAGTACGATTCTATAGAATCACGTCTTACGTCCATTTCTACCAATGTAAATGTAACTTTAATCTCGGTTTAGTTAATTTGTTATCTTTTTCTAGTTTTAAGAATTAGAAAAGGATAATAAGTAAGTTAAACCGAGATTAAAGTTAATCTACATTGGTAGAAATGGACATTAGACACAGTTTCACAAATGTCGGTTAACTTTTAACTTTAGATTAGCTCACTTTTCGTCTCTTTCTAAGGAGGACGTTAGAAGGAGACGAAGAGTGAGTTAATCTAAGGTTAAAAGTTAACCGACACTTGTGAAACTGGGCCTTAAGGTTTTTTCAGAGATGAATTTTATCTGTTGCTGTCTTGCAACAAGGCGCGTATAACAAAGAGAATCAAAAAAGAGCTTTGTGACGATCCGCGGTGTCCCACGGAAAATACGTACACCTCTAATCGACTCCTCAAAAAGCCACCGTGCATCGTTATAACCGCATGTGCGATACACCCTCATCTCCTCCCCTCGACCCCAGAAACGTGCGAGGTAACGCACGCGTACCGCTCGCTCCACCCGCGTGAAATTAAATTAGAAGGAAAATATTCGGAGAGCCGGCCAGCGCTTTTGTACGTGCGGCGAGATAGCAAGAGATAAAGGCCGCGTGTGTTAGACGCATGCGTGCGTGTATCGGTGTTCCCGGTGGCGGAGGATATATTCGCGCTGGCACGTTCGAGTGGCGCAACCGCTAAAAACGTACCAATCCACCCCCGCCGCCCCCAGCTCTATCGTCCGTTCAATCTTCAACCCTCAACCGTATTCCCTTTCCCCACGATTCGTCTTTGTCGGGAACGTTTCAGACATACCGCGTTATCTCTCATTCTCTTTTCGCATTCTTCCGCACGCGGTTGTTCGTGCAATCGCGGCGATGCATCGAAAACGCAACGAGACAATGCTGCCCCGTGCGAATCGGTACGAGTTTTAAATAGCTCGAGAGCTGATTTAATTATGTCACGCGTATAATGTTTTTTTTTTTTTTAAACGTAATAACACGAATATAAGCGCATCTTCGTTTAAGTCCCCATCAAGTGGTTTATTAGTTTATTTCAATCGCGCTGTTAAATTCGTTCAAAAATCGATACAAAGCGACTTTTCTCGGTTGCAGTTCTCTTGATGCGAGGCTTGGAAGCATCAGAACCGGCAAAGTCGAACGCGACCAGTGCTATTTCGGAGGACGACGGAGATGACTTCCTGGCAAACATGAACCTGACGACGTTCAAGGAAAGATACCGAAGATTGATACCCTACATGACTTTTTACGTCGCCAACAATTACCTGAACGCTCAGGCCGCGTTGGGGCAAAATTATGCAGACGAGCTGTCGGGCACCCTGCTCCGAAAACCTCCGTCGCAGCAACACCCTCTAACTCGGCTCGTTGACGTGCCGAGGAGGGGCGGTAATAGGTACCGTGTCAACTCACCCGACGAAGACAAGAAATTCGTCCCGTCCGTGCAATTCGATCCCAGAAACATCGGAGGCGATAACGATTACTTCGCGCCGGTCAAGTACAACACCAAGATCAACTATGCCGAGTACTCTACCCCGTCCTATCAGCTCTACCAGGTGCAAAAGACCTATCCCGAAATTACCACGCCTGTCAGTCATATCTTGAACAAGGAAAATCGATACTTCATTACCGCGAGACCCCCGCAACCCTCTGCTCCCGTGATCAAGAAACCGCTGTTCGGCAACCTGCAGGACGATTACGATCAGGATTACACGGCGAAGCCGAACATCGCTGTTAATTATCCCACTAAGGAATTTGGGGGACTGCGATACATTCCGGTGCACGCCAACGTGCAGCAGCAGCAGTCAGTAAAGCCGTCAGTCTCGTTTTATCGGAAGCCGAGTGTGAATCTGAACAATCTGATCGAGAGTTTCCAATTGTCCGAGCGACTGCCGGAAACGCTGAACAAAGACAACCTCGACAGCAGCATCAAAACGCTCATTGAGATTCTTAATATCCTGCACAATACGCGGCAGGAAAATTTCCCGCAGCCGCAAGGACCCCCGTTACCGCCACCATCGCCGCCCAGATTGATCGGCTACGATGTTTACAAGCCGAAAATATATACGCGGCCGAAAGTGGTCACCGAGACGAGATTTCAAGTGACACCGAGCCCTCTGATAATCACCAACGATCCCGAACGATACAAGACGACGGACGACACTCAGATTAAATCGTCGTTACAGTCGGATTACAACTTAAATCATGTGAAGGACGAAAAGGTGGAGTATTACATCCCTTACGTTCAGGACATCTCGAGCAAACACAAGCAACAAGGACTCAAGCCAACTCCTAGTGTTTCCACCACCGAGCACTCGTACGAGATCACGGAAGACTTGAGCGACGATATTCTGCAGGACGAACGGTACACCCTGCCGATTTCCACCGAGGCGTCCACGAGTCAGGAATACGTATCGCCGAACGAAGTTACACGCCCGGGGCCGAAAATGCCGCTGCCGGCATTAAAATACGGCGCGACGCGCGGAAAACCCAACGTCGATTACCCGGCGTACGCGAATATACCGCAAACTAAATTCAGTTGCAAAGATCAAAGATACAAGGGATTTTTCGGCGACCCAGCGACCGGATGCCAAGTATGTATACTGCAATTAGTGAAAATATTATAATTTATTCTCAAACGAGTCTATAAAATATTCTAAACAATTTTTTTACATTTACAAATCTCCCTACTTTTTCCACAATCTCTTTTGATTCTTAAATTTAATATCCGCGTGATTTTATATTATACGAGATATTAATTTCTAGAATTGTGTTTAATACGATAATATTGTTCTTAGGTCTGGCATTACTGCGATCTGAATGGCGGCAAATCGTCATTCTTATGTCCGAACGGCACAATATTCAGCCAGGTAGCATTGACTTGCGACTGGTGGTTCAACGTAAAGTGCGAAACGACTACTCAATTATATGTGCTAAATGAACGACTGTATAAATACATCCTGCCAATTATGCCCAAATTCCCCGAGGATTTCACCGGCCCGGAAGTAGATCGATACTTGGAGCTCAAGTTCAAGGAGATGGAGGCAAAAATGAAGGAAAAGAAGCTGAAGAAACAGCAAGAGGAGAAGAGCAAGCACAAGAGCAAGTCGCAAACGGTGAACGACGAGGAAGACGCGTAATTCAAGCGTTATGTGCTAAATAACTTAGTCTTAATATATAATACCTGACTCGTTGCCATTATAATGAAAAGCAAAAATATGTCGCGGGTTTTAAGGCCACAACTCTGGTAGTAAATGAGCCTTGCAACCTCGGAAAAGTGCAATATGTATATGATAGAGTTACATGTGATTTAAGCATAGAGTAAATCACATTACGCGTAAAATAAGTTAGATTATCTCACGGTCTTTGTACGGGTATGAAATGGCTGATGATATTAAGTATTTCTTATATCCCCTCTAGTCATATGCGTATACTATTGTGTACTATTTATCACGAAAAATGCCCGCCTGCCTTACGGAGCCTTTATTTCTTTCGGTCTGTACTAGAATGATCCAATTGAGTCATAAATTTCAGTCATGATAAGTCATAAAGCAGATAACAGATAACCTGTTTTTCCAAATAGCATTAATACTACTAATGAACCTAAATGACACTCTCTCTAATACATTGGTTATAATTATAGTCAAAAATTAAATGTTTTACTAAAAGTCATTTATGATTCGATTATTAATATTCAATATAAATTCCTATAACTGTGCAATTCTAAATGGCACACAATTTGTACATCTCAATAGCAAAGGACATAAATAGTAACACTATAATTAATATCACATAGAAAAATTAGATAGGTCTCGCCATTTATCTATAACCATTTTCCACCCAGTCGATATATAAAATATGATATCTCAATTTGTATATGATTTTATACGATATTTAAAATATGCGCTTCTATTATGTATCTGCGAGAATATGACTAGAATACTTAATTTATAATTTATCAGAAATCATTAAAAAAATAAACCACGTTAAAATAGTGAGCGATATATTCGAGCTATCGCCAAATGACCATACGTTAATCTTTCTACGCGTACCTAATGTTTTGTTAAAAGTATTAATAAATATTTATTTATCATTTCCTGGCATATACATCTCGTAGTAATTGAGCGAGTTCCTCGCCAGAAAAAAATATTTAATAAACATGCGGACTTACCTCTTTTGTCTGGCAAACTCGCAGCAGCGTTTCCTCGATATGCATGTAAGTCTCGTTGAACTCGGGCAGCAGGGTCTTGTTCTGCCAATAAAATAGAAATCGTTTAAGTTTCTCGCAATAATATGTAATAAATCATAATTTGAACAATATTAACCAACCTTTTCTGATAATGGCACGAAATGGTGCAGTTTGTGTAAGAGCAATGTGCAATTTGAACAACAGGCCACACAACAGTCATTGCAAAAATAGCCTAGCATTTCGGAGCATGTTGGCGAACAACTATTCAACATATCGGAAGGACTGCCAGGGCCCCCATCATGTATCGGGATCTGTGTGTGATTCTGCAATGCCCTTCCATGAATCTAAAAACAAAAGTAGAACCAAAGTCGTTAAGATATTATGAATATAATCCGTTTGATTATAAATATTTTGTTTGTGATATGCCAATTTACTTTTGAATAGCAGCAGTAACAATAAGGAACCATGCATTGCGGACAGTTTACATTAGCTTGATTCCCACATTCATGGCAACATCCTATAACCAAAAATATATGTTAACCACATGTTCACTTTCTTCTTCAGAAAAGTTAATTTACTTCATCAGTTAATGTACTACGTTCTCTAACCTTGCTTCGCTATCTGACGTAACTGTGTAGATAATTTGTGACAAAATAGAAACTCTTCATCATCATTTTCCAATGGACGATGGTAGGACGAAACAATCAGTCCTAGTGTATATAAATTCAAGGGAAGCAGGCGCTTGGAACCATTTTCCAGATCAGTTTTACACTCAGGACAAGTCTTAACTCTTTCTCTGTGGATACATTTATTGCATATTGGATGTCCACAATCCAATAACAAAGGTATCAGAGTTCCTTTCAATATCAACCCATTGAGATTCGATAGATCTGTAACAATTATGACAAAGATCTTTCTATTTTGATCTAATAAACAGTTTATTATAATTAATTGCACATACGAATAGTATATAAGCTACATAGTTTTTCACTATTATATTTAATAGAGCAACAGGATAGGAGAAAATGAAATATATACATCAGTTTTTATTAAAATATTATGACGTGCAAAATACAATTGATATCTGCTATTAAAGTATTTTGATACAAAAGGATTTAACACTCTCAGGCTTCAATATCTAAAATAATGATTATATACTTTTTTTTTTTAAGAGAGAGGCATAAAAGTTGAAGCAAAATATAAACCACAAAACGCATTTATCTAATAAATTAGATATTTTACGATAAGTACTTAATTATTCCGTCACAAATATACGTGCGATAGCTTTGTGTGTCGCAAGCATAGAGTAAATACAGAGAAAAGGAATGTCCGAGTCGGCGAAGGTCTGCCTATGGAGCGACGGGCACATGGGATTCTAACCTCTCTAACGCGTGCTCCTCGTTCGCGCTGTACGATCGAAAAAAAGAAAACATTGTTCGCGAGCACGTTTACGTTTACCGGCATCGTGCGCGACACGCACCCCGGCGACATGCCGTCTCTCTCTCTCACGTGTCTCCTATATGAGCCGCGATTCAACGATTCCGGGTGCCGGCAAACTCGGTCGCGTTCGCCGGTGCGCCAATCAATAACGCGACGTCGCGACGTCGCGGCGTGGTGGGCCGCCCGTTGTATACATCGCGGCACTTACCTGGCACGTAAAACTTGCTCCTGCAGAGAACGCAGACCACGTTCCTCAGCTTCGTGCCGGGGACTCGGAACCACGACGGCAACAGCCTGCTGCTCGACGCTTTCGCGCGTGACATCTCCGCGACGGACGTGTACATCCTTGCGCGAGGAGTCGAGGACGAAGATCCCGAGCAAATTCCGACTTTCCGACGAGATCGACGAAACGACGACGCGGACACGGGGTCAACTGCGTGACGCGACACGCGTGAACCTCGTTTCAAACTGGCTACTCGCCGCCGCTCCGCCGCGTGTTTACCCGTCAACACTTGCTCGCACCTCGCACCACACAACTGTTATTATTTCTTGCCCACCCCTCCTCGAAGGCGACTGTTCTTCTGTTGTATCTGTCGATGTCGAAATATCAACGCGACCTGTGTTCGACAATCATCGACCGGTCGATGACGACACAAGGACAGCCGAGTCGCAGTCGTCCTGCGATACGACTACGCACTCGCGCGAAAGTTTAACGGAGTACTACTACGCATTTTAAAATGGCGGCGAATTATCGGAAACGATGTGTTTTACACGCAGCCAGCTTTTCTCTGGGAATTATTGTCTTGCCGGCTAGTCGACTATCTTTCGCGCTTAACGAGATTGAGGTGGTCCGATATGTGAATCTCTTCTTCGAAATACGAAAAATCAGCTGCGAGATTTTTAATCCTTGAGTGCGCAGCTTTGCATATAATGCAAAAGCGACTTTTCGATGCCTCGCGTACTTACTCTCTATATCTGTAAAGGACCTTCTCTGGCCCTTCTAGACTTTCTTTTCCTTCCGAATGGGAAAGTCTAGAAGTATTTTATTTATTCAGAATGCTACGAAAAATCGCGCGTTTCAGGGTTATATTGATCGCTCTTTGTTCTTATGCTTTATTTAATTAGCGGCTTCGTTAATTTAGCCGGTTGATATATCGATCGATAGAAATAAGAGTATTATAATTTACCGATTCTAGCACGTTGAGTGCCTATCTCGATTAATTGTGAGAATTTGGATTACGAATCCCTGATTTCCGAAGCGGAAAGTCGCTCCGTCGCGTCGCGTTTAACATCGGGCGTGAAATAAAATAAGTAGCAATTGACCAATCACGTCGAGCGTTTGGTATAAGTTCAAGTTATTAGATATTCTCAACTGTAATTGGTCAATTTGCGTATTGCGTATTACCAACAGACGAATATGTCATGAAATCTGCGAGTAGATATTTGGCGAAGAAAATACGCGATGATAAGGAATTTCTGCACTGATTTATACTTTGAAGTTTGGAAAGGAAGAAAGAGGGATTTATTTCAGGACGGCTCACGCAGTTTCTAACAACTTCGTACTACAAACCGAATCACAAGGTCAAGCGTACGTATTACTGAGACTTACGGAATTGTATTTAGACAGTGTATTTATCATCGATAAAGATCATATAAAGTGTATTTTTCAATTCACCTTGCATCGAAAACAGCAGAATTCACCAGTTTCGCCGAATTTGCGAGAGTCACGACGAATTCTCGATCGTTCTCGCCGCCGCGTCGGTCGGCGTCGCCGCGAAAAGGCGCGAATTCATTCGCGTCAGAGCGACGAATGAAGTTAGGCGAGTAGGCGACCGCTGCTGCTGCCTGGCGAGCGATCTACGCGGCTCGCTTCGCCTCGCGCGAGCGTACGTGCTACCGGAGTACCGGAGAGACGATCGGAGCCGGGGTCCGGAGCCCGGAGCTCGGATTCGCGATGGCAGATGACGCTACGATCCGATCGGCGCGGCGGCTTTGCCGAAAACGCAAAAAAGGGGTATGGATAAAGGCTAGGTAAGATAATAATGCGAGCGAGACGGCTGTGTATCCGCCTATAGGTCTAGGCGCGGCTCGCCCGGTCGCCGCGACCGGCCCGTTATGATCCCACCCAACTCGCCTGTGCGATCGCTCCAGCGAGCAGCAGACTCGCGCGGATCCTTCTCCTTCCGCTATGTCGGCTCCGCGTCCGTTCGTCCTGTCCTTCCCGGCCTCCCTCGACCCTCCGCGTCTTCGCGTCTCCCGTCTCCGCCTCCGCCACGCAACGCTGCGCCTTTCTCGCCGCGGCGCGTCGTTCGGAATTGTCCGTTGGCCGCGGACGCCGGGAATGCCGGGATGGAAATGCAACCTGAAAACCGCGCGTCACGCGCGAAATTCTCTCGCGTCATTAATAACGTCGAATGCTCGATTCCCGCCTGCCGTCTGTGCTTCTCTCTGCCGCGCTGTTGATCGATCGGCGCCCCGCGCCGTTCCGCGCCGCGTCGCTCCCGAGGCGCTTCGCCCGCTTTCGCGCTTCTCCGAAGAAACTTTTAAATTGAACTTTCAGTTAACAAATTCGCCGCCGTTAACGAATCAATTTCCTCCGGGTGAGATCTGTCTTCGGGGCGAGACGTGGCTGATTATCGGCATTATCGCCAGCCAAGAGGCCAGAGCGATCGCTATCGAGGCGTCATTTATTAAGCGCGTTCTCGCGAAACGGATCGCGCGAGCGCGCTCCGATATATATCTCCAGAAAGAAGATATATATATATATATTCGTTCGTCTCGTTACGTAAAACTCCGCTCCGAGTTGGCGAATAGCGGGGAAACGCGGATCTGACCGTCGCGCCGTGTCCTTTGGGCGCCGTGATCTCTTTACGTAATCGGCGCGGTCGGTCGCGATAGCGAGTCGCCCGTGCCGTCGCCGCGCTGTGTGTTGCCTGAAACAACAGTTCGCGCGCGGCCTCTCCGGACTAGGCGAGCGAGCGATGGAGCGGAGGCAAGGTCTAGGCTGGCTGGCATTCAAGGTCGCGTGCAGAGAGCGCAAAGCCCGGATCTATCCCCGCCCCAGATTTCTAGCGCCCTTCGCTCCTCGCTGTCACGCCGTCCCGCTCGCTCGTTTGCTCTCCCTCTCTCTCTCTCGTTCCCTCTCCCTCTCCCTCCCCCCCAGGAGCGGAGAAGTCCTCTTTTTCTCCGTCTCTCCTTCTCCTTCCGCCGCGACGCTCGCCGTCCCGCTTGGTCCCGCTCGGTCGCCCGCGAGCCGCGACCCGCCGCGCGCGTGCAACATCGATTTAGCCATAAAAATTCCCCGCGCGCTCGACTCTATCACTCGACTATTATTTCCTGCCCGGGACCGACGCGACGGCGTGAAGAGCGACGCGGCGCGGCGCGGTGCCGTGCCGTTCCGCTCCCGGAATTCTCCGCTCTGTAAATGCGCGCGGCGAAGGAGGTTCGGACTCCGCGGGGTCGTATGCACGCTATCGCGCCGCGCGAGGAACGAGGAAGCGCGCGGCGAGCGCGCGCAACGTCATCCGCGTCTCTTTCGCGGGTATATATGTGTGCGAGACACTGCGAGAGCGTGCTTGCGAGCGTGGAGAGGAGCGAGAAGGAGAGAGAGAGATAGAGAGAAAGAGATCGCGCGATTGAGAGCGTGCTCCGATAAGGAAACGAACGGAAGCGAGACAAGATTCTAGCTACGTCTCGAAAGGCGAATCTCGCGTTTCGCTCGCTCGCTCGCTCGCTCGCGAACTCGCCGGCTGCGAGGATGAAAGGGCGTATCAGCGATTAGATCCCGTTACGTACCACTACATCGACGAGACATTAGCGGGATTAGTCCTGTTCTACTCTCTGTCTCTGCTGCACAAGGCTGTTCGATGTTA